AAAAAAACATCATACAAGAACTGAACCAACTGTTGTCGATGAGATAAACGAGATCCACGAAAAGGTTACGGGCTTCTAGAGCAGTTGAAGGCACTTGCAACTGTTGCTCTTACATAATTATATCAATCAGTTCTCTGCATTCCTCCAAACAATTTGTGGGGCTTGTTCAGTCGCAGCATTCACCATCAATCACATCAATGTCATCTAGGTCAACTTCTGTCCGGTAATCCGTTGCATTTGTCCATGCAGGAACAGTATTGGTTATCGCCAAATGCACCAGCGATTAAGAATTGACTACAGTCTTGTTGTCCAGAAGGAGGCCGTACGAGTCATAATTAAAGAATTGGATCCTGCTGGCGTACAGTCACGATCATAATGTGTTTTTTGTTTGGAGGAATGCAGAGAATTGATTGATATAATATTTGATAGAATATTTAAGCAATGGCAATGAAATTTAGAGGGCATATAGTATAGACTGAAAGATGAGCAAGCTGATGAAAGTTTATTTCAAGGTTTTAGTGTAACACAACCTTGATAGTAAGAATGTGCAAAGTTGATAAAAGTCGTAGTCCTGATTTCCGTCACTAAGCCGTATTTCCAAGCCAATTAAAAGTTTTTTTGCTTCCAAACGTAAAATCAAAGAATGTTGATGTCGGAATGTTCATTTGATTAGTCGGTATAAACCCTAACTGTTGGTACAACTGCTGCTACCAGACCTTCTCAAGTAGGGACAAGTAAGGAGCTTTGCGTCGTCCTTTGATGTTCATCACCTTAATGTCAAAATGTTTGCAAATGGATGCAGAATGGAAACACTTAGCTTGCGCGCGTCACATAAGTTAGAAGTGTCGAAAACAATTGGGTGCCTTAGTCCCATCTCCTCTAACACAACTGCGCGAACATTTTCGTACGCGATTTCCTCTTCAGCGGCCATAAGATCTTCGTCTTGGTCAGATTCTGGATCGTCCGAATGAGAATACTGGAATTTAGAGGCTCGTCTTGAAAAGCTTGACTGAATTTCCTGTTCGGTCAACAATTCACTTACTGTGAACAGTTTTTCCCCTTCTTGGTTTCGCGCGTAACGCATGTCACGTGCAACATCCACTGGCTAAAGTTTCACTCCTGTTGCTTGCCCTACTTTAAATTTCGCGTCTAAGTACTGTCGCTGGGAATCATCAAACCTCGTTGCCTTTCTACCGGGCATCGACTTGACACAGCCTTCCCGGATGGCTGGTTGTTCGCCTCACAAAGTCTTTTATCATGGTATAATACTTTGACCTTGTCCATATAACTTTCTCTGACCGGTAGATGTAAAAGTATCTGATTGTGCAATTACATAATGGAACAATTTCTGGGTCACGCGTTGTTTACATTTCCTGAATTGTAACGTGTAGTATTTTTCCCGCCTTTATGCTTTATGTATTACTGTGGTCCTAAATAAATGGTTGAGTTAAAACAACACAAAACTTTACAGTAGAAACTCACATGGCCCATACGATAAGTGATTTTTCAAAGAATAGTGATGCTTTAAAAATATTGAGTACAGGGTTCTATACTGCCGTCACGCTGTGTCCATGGCATGAAATTTTTCTTAAAAGAAAAGAAAAGCAGTGGACAAGAAAAGATACTCTTTTTCTCTTATTGAAGTTATACTCATGCTCTACAGTCTAGTTTACCACCTATTACTTATCCTTCGTGTGAATTAACCCTGAACAACAAAAACAACCACCAAAAAAAAACACTATCCATTTGCGTAGCCGAAACTTGTGTCATTTTATTACATTTTCATTTGGTCTTTTAGTTCCAGATTATTCACAGCCGCTCAGCTTTGAGTGCCAGTTTTCCTCAGGGGACTTCACAGAAATATCTCAGACGGTCGATAAGCCCAAAACCCATGAGAAGGAAAAGGNGATTTTCCAAAGAATAGTGACGCTTTAAAAATGTCAGTGAGTACACGGTTCTATGCTGCCGTCACGCTGTGTCCACGGCATGAAATTTCTTTAAAAGAAAAGAAAAACAGTGGACAAGAAAAGAAACTCTTTTTCTCTTATTGAAGTTATACTCATGCTCTACAGTCTAGTTTACCACCTATTACTTATCCTTCGTGTGAATTAACCCTAAACAACAAAAACAACAACCCAAAAAAAACACTATCCATTTGCGGAGGCGAAACTTGGGTCATTTTATTACATTTTCATTTGGTCTTTTAGTATCAGATTATTCACAGCCACTAAGCTTTGAGTGCCAGTTTTCCTCACGGGACTTCACAGAAGAACCTCAAACGGTGGATAAGCCAAAACCCATGAGAAGGAAAAGGACCGAGACCTTAGCGCTATGTTTTCTTGTTCGCACGAGGGTTGCGTTAAGATGAATCAGCGTCACTATTTTAATTCCCAACAGGAGATCGGCTCCTGTCCCAAGATTGATTTTGTTTGTTTGTTTTGTTTTGTTTTTTTTCGAAAACCCTACAAAGCTTTTTTTTTTCTTTTTTCTAAGCGATTACGGGATTTACTATGGAATGTTTTTCTCTGCGTTGGACCTTTGGACCCAAGCCCAAGCCCAAGACCCCCACCCTCCTACCTGGGTGTAGTCAAAGAGGATGTCACGCAATCTAGTTTAGCTGAGGGCTTTTGGTCTTTTTTCAACGATATATTATATGACATGAGTGAATGTTTGTCCTATTCTTCCATCATTGCTTGTACGATTTCTTTCAGACGAAATGCAAACATTTTGATGAATACTTTTCATATTTAGATAACTGGTACAAGTCAGGCTTCAAAGTAAATAAATGCGCAGGTACTGGAAGCGTTGTCAAGAGGTCTACAGCTCAATTTCGCCCAATAATAATGCTCTTCCTTTCAAATAATTGCCGCTACGAAGTCATCATCTTTTCTTTAGTATTTGAACTAGTGGAAAAGGATCGAATTCTCGAAGTATTTAAACTGCTGCCAAGTTCACTATTGTACTGCCTGGGTTCGTCATTGCAACCGCAAGTTCAACAGTTGTAAATTTCACGCGAGTACCGTTGATGTTTTCAGTTCTCAAAACTTGCCGTTTGAATTGCCCCAAAATTTATTACATAAATTGAAAAAAGGGATTGCTCTTTCTCTGGAATAGCATTTGCACAACGAAAGCCGTGTACCAGAAAGGGTTTTTTGCCGTTGAAAAATGGAAAAACTGATAGTCGCGATGAAACTGTTTTAGAGGGCAATTTTGAAAAAAAATTAAACATTTAGATTGGAATCTTTTAAAATTACAACGTTTTCATACAAAGGAAGGGTCACATGATAAAATCATCTTATATCGCAATGCCATGGTTTTTGATTCCGTTTCTTTTCACCAAGCGAGGATGCGAAGCACATTTTTCGGTGGTTTAAGGGCCTCTCGGAGGTAAAAATTTAAAAAAGTTTTTTTTTTGAAAATATCAATCGCAAGAAACTGAATCTTGCATTTTCCAAAATAGTTTCATAAGGGCTTTAATGATACAAAGTTTGGAAGATTTCGATGTTTCCATCTTACACACCTATCCGTGGTATTTACAGGCAGAAAGTCGCTCTTAAGCGTCATTCGTCGGATACGGAAAAAATTAACCGTCATTCCTCGATAGATTTGCTACCTCTCGAGCGGTCTCGAAAAAAGGTCGCTCTTAAAACTTTCCGAAGCTTTTTAGCTAACGCCCAGGTGACATTGGTTTGATACCGTCAGTTCTTTGAAGGAGAAAGAGATGGGTTAAGATGTACAAAACTTAATGAGTCTTTCAGTGACTTTTGCACTGCATCATCACGCAGACAGAGTCCGCTCGGAATTTTTCAACACTTTTATTAGAGAAACATTTTAAAGCAATCACTTCAATACGGTATCCACAAAAAAAATACTCAGACACGTATCTAAGACAAGTTTGGCTGAGTTGTAGGCTCTGCCAAGCACAAAATTATCGGACTTTCGGCCAAACCACATACTTTTCATAAAAAAGAAACGGATCAAGTTGTCTAATGAAATATACCTTTTAGTGTAAAAGAAAATGAATTTGCCACGCGAGGCAATGCAGTTTAGCAGAAATCAAGACATGTGCATGAAGATTTTCTAGCAAACAACCTGGTTTCACGGTATGACTGTTTTCAGCAATTTTCTTAATCTCTACACAACAATGGCATACAGAGTGGGATCCCATCCATCTGGAAAACGAGACTTTTTCTTAGAGGTCCCGTCACAATAAAAAGATATCAAAATGCGCCATCTAACGTCAGTACGCCGTCCTACCTTTCAGAATTTAACTTGTCGACCATACATGTAGTACATTTAATTAAGCATTGTAAAAATTATTAACAAAAAAAAATAAGAATATAGTTTTACGGGAAAACAAAACTTTCGCCCCTTAACAAAGCTAAGATCAGTTAACTTAAAACGTTTCAGCCTAACAGCCTAATATCACTTGGCTTACTCTATCAATGCAAGTAAAGCGCTTTAAACAAAGATTGAAGACAAACGTAGTGGAGAACTATTTTGTTGGCTGACAAATAATATTGTTTTTCGAAATTTTTATCTCCGATGGTCCAGAAATATTTTTGACGATCGAGAAAAGTTTTTCATCGGTCGAGAAATAATTCTCTCTTACGAGAAGTATTTGTGGTAGTCCAGAAATACTCTAAATGATCGAGAAATAAAACTTATTCATCAGTCGAGCAATATTTCTGCAAGTTGAGAATTTTTCGTCGATCGAGAATTGTTTTGGTCAGTCAAGATTTTACGTTAATCGAGAATTTAGATGCGCGTATGCTGGTCAGCGGGCGTTTAAGTACCAAAACGTGATCATATCGTGAAAACTAAAATGGCGGACCGTATTTCTCGACACACAATTATTTTTCCGCCAGAAAAACAATTCTCGACCAGTTTTGTTCATTATAACTTTCCCTAAAAGGTGATTACTTCCTGAAACTTGCTGTGGCAAAGCATTCAAACACTAAGGCAATTACGCACTGTGGATAAAGTGTATCTAGTTAACTACACTATCAAATCCTCGACGTTTGCATACAGCTGCTTGTCGTACGTTTTCATATTAATCAGTCTCTGCAGAGAATAAAAGAAACATTAATTGGCATTGTTGAAATAATTCTGTTCCTCTTACATTATAAGGAAAATACAAGGAGCTCGTACTTTATGGCGTTGTCATTTAATGCTTTTTGTGCGTCTCAGTAAGTAATTAAGAGAAAGAGTTGTTTGGCTTTGGAACATTTTGCTTTACTCCTCACCTTTTTTTTATTTGTTTTGTTTTTCTCGGTAGACTTAGTTTTGATGACATAACATAAAGATGCAATCCTAACTTAGTTAAAAATTACAAGAGATTTATCTTATTAGATGTTTTGTTATGTTGTATCGCTGAGTATTTTGACGAGCCCGTGGAGCGAGTCAAAATACAAATAATAAACAATTATTGAATGAGGTTTTTGTGATATCCGGAATAATCAAGGTCGAGGTAAGTGTTATCAACCGAAGCCGAAGGCTAAGACTGATAACACTAGCCGAGACCTTGATTATTTCGGATATCACAAAAACCTCATCCAAAAATTGTTTTATTATACATTGTTTTAAAGAAAATAACGCCAAACGCATTATCGCAGCGAACACAGTTTATTTTCGAACACTCCAAAATCAACAACTGTGTGGTAAACAAATTTTCACTTGAGCAATTACTTTTTGTCGTGTGGCTCCTGGATATTTTTTTCTTTAAGGTATTCGTAGAACAGTTCCCTCGCCATTTTTGTCGATCTTTCAGTATTTTCCGAATCTTTATCTTCAAGTAATTTCTCAATTTCTCGCTGGGTCGATGAAGCGAATCAAGAAGCCATTCTTACTTCGCTGTCTGTGAACTTGACATTGCTCCACCGGAAATCATGCATTGCGCGCGCAACCTACAGATTATTCCCCAATCTGTAGGTACAGATTAGTGAATAATCTGTAAGTTGCGCTGTTTCCCAGAGTTAACTGTAAGCGTTAAGCCAATGAGAAGACAGATGGTGACTACAAAGTAAAATAATGAGTAAAAATAGTCAGCGATATGACACAACAAAACATCTAATAAGTTATTTATTATCCTACACGCCAAATTGTTATTTCAGTTCGGGCGAATTTTGCCGATACTTATTTATTCATTCTTTGAGGATTCCGCACCTTTTTTCGAAAATTAAGCGTCGAAGGTGCTTTGCTGATCCTGTTTCCTTTTATTGTTCGTAATTTGAAAGAGAATCTTGGGCTCAAAGTGTGAGAAGAACTCAAGATGCAGTCAGACAACTACCACGTGGAGTCGGGCGCGCAAATCGCCACACTATCATCGGCAGCACCTAATTCAGTTCAACTTACTGCCCCAATTTATCCTCAAGTTATTTCACCTAATTTTCCGCTTGCAAGTCGTATGAAGTGTCACGGTGACGTTACTGGCAACTGGGACTTTTTCAAGCAGCAATGGTGCGACTTTGAGACAGAAACAGGCCTCGATAAGATACAAGAATCGCTCTTTTTAGTGACTTTGCGTTCATCGATGGGCAGAAAATGTCTTTAGATACTACTCAACTTAAACCTCTCAAAGGAAGATCAGAGCAAAATCGACAAATTTTTAGAAGCCTTGGAAAGCTACTTCAAGCCCAGGAGAAATTTGGTGTACGAACGGTATGTTTTTAATATGTGTGTGCAGCAGAGCGAAGAACCCATCGAAAGCTATGTCACACGTCTGAGAAAATTAGCCGCGACCTGCGAATACGGTGCGCTTACAGACGAATTTATCAGGGACAGGCTCGCTGTTGGCGTAAAGAATCAAGGTGACAAGGTGAGACTCATGAGAGAAATATCCCTGGACTTGAAGAAAGTCATACACATGTGCATCACGAGTAAAACCGCCTCACAACAAATCAACACCATGGTAGGCGCTGAAGACAACAAGATAGAAGACGTAAAGAAATTAGGCGACAAGAAATTTCGCTATAGAAGTCGCAGTGAGAGGAGAGATGGAGGAAGATCATCGAATTTAGAGAAGAAATCAGAAAAAAAGAAATCCGAAGGTTTGTTCGAACTGACCTGTAAGTATTGCAGTCGTAAACACAGTCATGAAAGAAGAACAGATTGTCCCGCGTTCAAGAAAACGTGCAGCAAGTGTCAAAAAATGGGCCATTTTGCGTCTGTATGCCAATCGTCAAAGAAGGTTAAGCAATTCGAAGAAGACGAAGATGACAGTCTTGATGAAAGCTGTTTGCAAGCGGAAACTGTGTCTCTAGTTCAAACTAAAGCAAAACAATGGCTTGCAGATATCAGTTTCTGTGAATCAACTAAAGAAGACTTCACTACAACCTTAGCAAGTCAATTAGACACTGGAGCTACATGTAATGTAATTGGCTTGAACGACGTCTCAGCTATCACACAGTTAGGAGACCCACCCATAAACAACTCCTCAGTTAAGCTGAAGCTCTTTGTTGGTACAACTTGATTGATTTGTGACAGGCGCCATGATGGCAGCCACGAAATCTGTGTCTAATTGTCTCCGCAATTTGTGTATAATTCTGCTGCTGTGTTCCGGTTTTTTGAGTTTATTTCACCATGTCGGTACAGCTAAGAAACGTGCTTTACAACCAGCCTTCTGTTATATACCGAGTTTACATTTTATTTTCCGCAGAGATTTTCTGAGTTACCATCCAAGTCGACCGATCGTTAGCTGGAACAAACGCGGCTTTGTGTGCCTCTTCCTGTCTTCCTCTGATCTAACTATGTTTTTTGAAGTTGAAAGAAATCCTGATCCTTGTTGTTCTTTGTTAAATAATACCGCCCATTTTACTACAAGCTCTTACAATGTTCGTGGACCTGACCTGAGACATCAGAAGTATTATCAACCCTCTTGCATATCTTACGAGAGGAACAGGCTCCTGTCTCTTCGTCACTGGAGTGAGCACCACTGTTCGCCTACATTTCTGGGGAAGTTAAAAGCTATGGATCTTTTGAGATAGCGGGGCCGGGGAAGCGTGCTTGAAGGTCGAATAAACAAAAATCAACGGGAAATGGTCTAAGGATTCCTGTGATTTGTTATGGTCGACACCATTACTATGTTTCATTAAATATTCAAAATGCCACTTCAACGTTACAAATCTGTGAATCACGCCCTTTAGGTGTTAATGTGAACAACTTAATTTGTATTCGTCCGGATTCATTGCGGTCTAGGTTATCGACCTTTGTCCTTTTGGATTTTTTCCTTTTGAATTCTCCATCTATTTGTAACAAGTCTCGGCCGATAAATGATTTCATAGCTGATCACAATATCGACCTCTTTGCCTTGTCAGAGACGTGGCTTCGTACGTGGTGATGACTCGGATTTATAATATATCCGTGACATTTGTCCAGACGGATATGTTTTCCACCATTTCCCTCGAATATATACTACTGGTAGCGGGGTTGGCATTCTTCTTAAGAATAAACATCAAGGCAAAAATTCTAGCACATGAGTCGTATTGCTCTTTCGAACATCTTGAGCTGGAACTCAGGGCTTCGAAGTGTTTTTTCCGTTTAATTGTCTTGTACCGTCCTCCTTCATCCGATGTGTCACTGTTTTTTTGATGATTTTCCTAGCTATCTTACCCATATAGAAACGGCATCAGGTTATTTTCTGATTTTTGGTGACTTCAACTTTCATGTTGATTCTCAAAAAAATACTGGCCGGCGATTTACTGGCCTTCTTCATTCACTTAACCTTCGCCAGCATGTAAATGATTCTACGCATAAGAATGGCCATACACTTGACCTCGTTATCACTAGAGAGGAACAATCTTTCATCAAGAATCTCTTACTCTTTGATTCTGCACTTTCTGATCATTTTATGATCCGGTGTAATCTGGATTTTTGTAAACCTGTTGCTCAAGATCAAATGTTATCTCTTCGACGTTTACGTGCCATTGACAGGGATAAGTTCTCCTCTGACCTGGAGGACTTCGCGCTAATTAGATCACCTCTAAACGATGACCTTTCGTTAGCTATTGATCAATTCAACTCCACTCTTCAATCTATAATCGACAATCATGCCCCAATCATTCGTAGGTCTGTTACTAATCCCGCTTATGCGGCATGGTTTACGCATGAAATTAAAGTTGCAAAGAGAAAGAGAAGAAAACTGGAAAGACAATGGCGCGCGCGTAACACCGAAGCTAATCATCTATTGTGCACCAAACATTGTTGTGAGGTGAATGACTTGATTCGTTGTGCAAAAGAGAGCTACTTTTCATCTATGATTGAAAGCAACCGAGGAGACCAGAAAATATTATTTCAAGCAGTTTTAACTGCAAATTAAAATTAAAAATTAAAATTTGTTATACAGGAAACCGATAGTACGTTATCCTTCTGTGGGTTCTGATATGGCTATAACTGAAAAGTTCAAATCATTTTCTGTTGATAAGATACGACGTGTACGCCATAGTTTACCTGTTCATAGTACTGGATTTCCGAATGTCCCTTACTTGGATAACTCTGCGACTCAATCCCGGCCCTGTGAATTTGCGACTTTTCAACGTGTTTCTACCGACCTTATGGCTAACTTTATTAAATCCTCCTGAGTGAAAACTTGTGCTCTCGATCCACTACCAGCTTCTGTGCTAACTAAGTGTTTACCAAGGTTGCTGCCAGTCATAACTGATATTGTGAATCGTGAATGATCAGAATGATCAGAATGTGTTTCGCCTACTTGAACGAGCCAACAAGATCTGTTCTAGGTCCGATTTTTTATTTATTGTATGCGTCTCCTCTCGGCTAAATTATAAGATGACACGATATGAACTTCCATTTCTATGCGGATGACTGTCAAGTTTATTTTTCGCTGAACTCGGTTTCATCATTTACTACTACGAGAAACGAAGCCTGCCTACAAGATATTGTAACTTGGATGTCATTGAACAAACTTAAACTTAACGGTGATAAGACCGAGCTTTTGGTCATCGGATCGGGCAATCTGTCTGATCTGCTTCTCAGCTTCCTTTTTTTACAGCGAATGATGGACCTGTTATACAGCCTTCGCACTCTGCTAGGAACATAGGAGCAATCTTTGACAATAAGTTAAATATGGAACGTCAAGTTTCTGTTATTTGCAAATCTGCATTTTCTTCACATCCGGAATATTTCTCGGATTAGAAAGTTTTTGTCAGTTAGTAGTACTAAGGCGTTAGTACACGCCTTCGTTACATGCAGATTAGACAACTGTAATTCTCTGTTACATGGTCTTTCGAAAATTTAGTTCATAGATTGCAATTAGCTCAGAATTATGCGTCACGGCTGATCTTATGAGGTCGCAAGCATGATCATGTTACTCCTTTATTGAGGGAACTGCACTGGCTCCCAGTGGGGCAGAGGATTATTTTTAAAGTCTAATTTTTACTTTTAAAGCTTTAAATAATTTATGCCCTATTTATATCAGTGACTTGTTAGAAACTTACAAGCCTAATAGGTCTTAACGATCATCGAGTAGGAACTTGTTAGTGATTCCTCGCTCCAAGTTGAAATCTTATGGCGATCGCACCTTTCCTCTCCCTGCACCTAAGTTGTGGAATGACATTCCTGAAGCCATAAAATGTCATGTAGATCTTGAATGATTGTTTGATTATTATTTTTACTTTTTACCTTGATTGTGAAGCGCCTTAGAGCTTTTGGATAGGGCGCGATTTAAATTGTCATTTATCATTGTTATTATTATTATTATTAACTTTAAGGCCAGTTGGAGAGTGCGACTTACAATGGAAAACAACTGATTCTGAAGTTTCAGGTCATAAAACACAAGTGTAAGCCCTTGCTATCAGATGAAACCTGTGAAAAGTTGCAACTCATTCTCCTAAATGTCAGCGTCCCCGAGAATGTACGTCAGGTAAGTGAGACCCTAACACAAAATGTCTGTCAAAGGAAGAACTATTGCGCAAATATCATGAAGTTTTCACCGGTTTAGGGCATATTGGAGATGCGAAGATTGTGGTTGATCCGAGTTTTACACCAGTACAACATTCCCCTCGTCACGTGCCAGTTGCACTACAAAAAGAAGTAAGTGAAAGTGTGAAAGTCATCAGAGATGATATTCTTGTTGTGGGTTACGGTGAAAACGACTCGGAAGCCCTTCTTAATCATGATCAGAATGTGTTTCGCCTACTTGAACGAGCCAAACAAGTCCATCTGAAACTCAACAAGAACAAAGTTAATCTTCGACACGCAGAAGTTAAATTCACGAGCCATGTGATTTCAAGGGATGGACTGAAACTGGATCCTGATAAAGTTACTGCCATCAAGAACATGCAGAAACCAACAACTAAGCCTGAAGTTCTTACCTTGCTTGGTTTTGTCAATTATCTATCTAAATTTCTACCAAAGCTTTCAGATGTGTCAGTACCTGAGAGCTCACAACTGACCAATCCAAGTTCACCTCGGCCAAACAGCATGATGAAGCTTTTGCCACTATTCAGCGCTTGGTTATTCAACACCCGGTCCTTAAATACTACAGCATAGACGAAGAAGTTACTATTCAGACGGATGCCAGTAGTAGAGGCCTTTGCGCAGTCCTTCTTCAAAATAGACACCGAATCGACTTCGCATCCAGAACTCTCTCACGAACAGAACAAAGATATGCAACCATAGAGAAAGAATGTCTGGGAATAGTCTTCGCTTGTGAAAGATTCAATCAATATCTAGCACGCAGAGACCAGATTTCAGTCGAAACTGACCACAAGCCTTTTGAGTCGATATTTCAGAAGTCTCTACTATGAGCTCCATGCAGCCTTCAAAGAATGCTTCCCAAGCTGCAACGATTCAACCTGACAGTTAAGTTTAAGCCTGGTTCCCAAATGCTCTTAGCCGACCATTTGTCTATAGCCTAGTAGCATGAAACCTCTGAGCCAGAAGGAACTTGTCGAGTATTTTCCTTAGAGCTGGAGAGCCTAGACCCTATGCAAGCCTTGACGGTCACGCCAGAAAGACTGGATCAATTGCAGCGTAGCACAAGTCAGGACGACACTCTGCAGGCACTAAAAAACAAAATTCTGACCGGATGGCCAATGCAGAAAGATCCAATCAAGATCGGGGAGTATTGTTCTTACCGCGACGAGTTATCAGTACACAATGGTGTTCTTAAGGCTCGAGGGTAGTTATCCCTAAGTTACTAAGACCTGAATTCAAATCCAGAAATCATTCCAGTCACTTAAGAGTAGAAGCTTACATGCGTAAAGCTAAAGAAACTGTATTGTGGCCTGGTATGAACGCAGAAGTGAGTGACCGAATCAAACAATATTCAATTTTCAACGAATTTCAAGCTAAAAATCAGAAGCTTCTGATGCAAAGCCATGAACTTCTTAACTGCCCGTGGAGTCGAGTAACTGCTCACCAGTTCAGACTTCATGGCAAGGAATACATCATCCTTGTTGACTACTACTCAGATTTTATGGAAGTACAAGAATTGGAGGAAAACACTTCCAGTTCCGTGATTGAATTCTTTTTGGAACAATTCAGCCAACACGGCATTCCAGATACACTAACTACTAACAACGCTCTTCAGTTTGCAAGTCATGAGTTCCATCAGTTCTCAGTCGATTGGGAGTTCACACACGTATTGTCTTCCCTGCGTCATCAGAGGTCCAACGGAAAGGCAGAGTCTGCTGTGAAACTTGCCAAGTCTTTGTTCAGAAAATCTTTCAAAGACAACAAAGACCTGTGGTTAGCTCTATTGGACCAATGGAACACACTAACAGAGTCCCTGGAAAGTAGCCCTACACAGAGATTGATGTCTAGAAGCACTAGAACCTTACTACCTACAGCTTCTAACTTACTGTACCACAAGATCTCCAAAAATGTAAATGCAAAGCTAAAATTGAAAAGGCAAAAGGCTAAGTGGTACCATCATCGCACATCACGTACCCCACCAGAATTACAAGTTGGTCAAGAGGTAAGAGTGGCACCTCTACGAAGGAATCAAAGCTGGAAAACGGGTACCTGTATTAAGAAGCTATCAGACAGGTCCTACGTAGTAAAAACCAGTTCAGACAATGAAGTATTCCGTCGAAATCGGGAATTTATGAAGCCAGCTGCACAACCAACTGCACAGCTCAAACCAGTTGAAAGCAGTGACAGCCAGCTTTCAAAGAGTGTAAACCAGCCTTCAAAGCAAGATGTCAATTCAGCTAATTATAAACCGAACCCAATATTTACACCACAAACTGTTCCATTGAAGAAAACTCGTACCAGAGTTTTAAAGCTACCACTTTGTTGTGTAGTTTATCGCATGAAAATTCTCTTCAGCTCAAGAGAACTCGAAGTGTTCATATTAGAAAAAACTGACTATTGGATAGTAACTTTAATAAGGACATTCGACGTTTAGTCCTGTACAAAGTTCCATTTGTTTTATTTTGTTTTTAATTTTATTTTAGTAATGTCCTTTTCAATTTGAACACATTTCATTTGTGTTTATATGTTTTCTTCAGGAATTTAGCGTACTCCAAAAGAGGGGAGAAGCTACGATAAGTAAGTCCTACGTCACTTCTCACGTTAAGTGTTTCCTTATTTGGTTATAAATAAACCAGTCGTGGTTTACAGAGTTTGTAGTTTATGTGTCATAATAGTATCCGGAGCGGAACGAAATTGGCGCGTCGTCGTGTTGCTGTTTCTATTTTCTTCAATAAATGATAAAATTTCACTGTATTCTGACTGCTCTTTTTCCTTCGATTTATCTAATAAACCTCGTCAGAAAAATTATTTAAACTGTCTGCCATTTGTTTTTTTTTAACTTCAATCCAATTCGTCACTTGCGCGATTCGAGAAAACCTGTCCAATCGGTTCTCTGAAGTGCAAATGCAGCGTAGTATTTGTACTCGTCTTGGGTGTCATTCGTACTCTACGGAGTGTAGTTGGTTAACAAAAGTACATATTACTCTCCATCTAGATGAAATGCTGTTAAGTTAAAAACGGCAAATAGCTAAGTCTATGTCATTCACTCTGTATAAATGGAAACTTTATTGTTGATCATAATTCTTACCTTATGCATGGTTTCCATGTCTTTCAAATTATTTTCTAATTCGGTGAATGTTGGTCTTACATCCGGGTCATTTTTCCAGCATTTCATCATGATCTGATACCTGGTATTTCGAAAACTCGAGAGATTAAAAGAACGTTTCCTTTAGAGAACGAAATCGAGAGAACGAATCGAGAGAGAAAACTCACAATTTTTCATCCACGTGTTGTGGTTTGGGCATCCTGTATCCCTTCTGAAGTACGTTTGCAATTTTTCTTCCATCCATTCTTGGGTAAGGTGAACCACCTGGTAGAATCCACAACATCATAGAAATGTAAACTTTAACAACACCTTTCTCACTTGGTGGAATATGAATCTGCATGGGATAGCTCACTACGTTTGTTTACCTGAACAGGATACATTGTGAAATCAAACTGATACAAAAAAAAATATTAAGTATAATAAACATCAATCGGATGTTACCTATGGTAAAAATCTCGTAAAGCACAACTCCATAACTCCATCTGCAGACAGGCAAATCAAATGCATGCAAATCAGGTGATTGAAGACACAAACATTATGTAGTGATTAAAATTCATGTCTATGTCAAAATGTTTAAAATGTGTTTGAAAATAATTATTAAAACTCATTGCTATGGGTAGTAACGTACTTACACATCACTTTTAGTAGTATATCTGCCATACAACAACGCCTCATAAGCTGTCCACTTTACTGGAAGACGACCCTAAATATTTCAAAAATCACTTTGTGAAACAGCTCAAAAATTATAAAAATTACAAATCAAAGACGTTAACATTTTTTATGACACTTGTATAAATGCCAATATTTTCATTAGGGTCCAATCTAAGGAATTCAAGAACGAAAGACTTAATATGTAACCTCTACCACGACAACGATATGTAATTGAGTACCACCCCTCCCTTCCACTCTTTTCCTACAATTCTTGGATCACCTTTGTCTTCCTTTCATAGACATTTTCCTGCTCGACATCTCTGGCCATCCCAAAGTCTGTCACTTTACACGTTTCCCTCTCTCCAACTAAAACATTACGGGCTGCAAGGTCTCGGTGAATTATCTGAGGGTGAAAATCGACTCGGGAATAAACTAAAAAGTTTCATAATGAATGAAATAAATAAACTTAATGGCATGGATCAAAGAATAAAAGGATTGCCTAACCGCTGTATTCGTATTGATTTTCATTTTGAGTGGTTAGCGAAATTCGGATACATCGCGTCAGGAAGTAACAAAAAAAGACCTTAACGTGTGGTGCAGCGGACGAGTGATAAAAGTAGAGATCTGCTTCTTAGGTAAAGAACACAAAAATAAACATTCTTTTGTGCTGTTCTCAGTTTTTTTCCAGTTTTAAAAGTTGGGCAAACGTCTATACTGCTTAGTTTTAGGAACCTAAGTTCACATGTCAGGCGATTCAGCTTACAGATTTTGAAGACAAGTAACTCATGCCATCTGCTATTTGCCAAGCAAACTTCATCAGCTGCTGTGACGTCAGATTTGTTTGTGGTTTGATATCCGGGTCTTTGTAGTAAGTGTCATTTAATCCACGGCTCTTTCTCAGGTAGCCGAGAAGATCTCCAAAAGGAACATATTCGATCAAAACCAGCAGTGGTTCTAAAGAAATAACAAAGCACATATAGCAATTTGTCTCTAAAGAGAAGACACTAATATTTTGTGAAAAATCAATACTTGTAGTCTGCAAGTTCATAAACTAGTTGTTGCGAGTGAAAACTTAAGTTAATGATTTAAAAATATCCTTCCAATCTCCGTCCATCTAAAGAGTATTCCAACTTTCCTTAAAAAGAAAGTCAACACAATGTAACTGAATGCCTCTTATCGACATCATCGAGCTTCAAGTTGCGGCCAAAGCCTTCTTCCGAAGTTCTTAGCCACTTTCGAGAGACTAAATTCCAGCATATATCTTAAATTTGACCACGTAGTTGAGGTTTTAAACGAATTTTACCAACTTAAAAAAGAACGTTAAAGAACGATTTAAAATCAAAGAACTATATTGTAATGCGTAATTTGTTCAAAACCGTAAGATACGAGTGACTTTTCCATGTATTCTCGATTGATATTTCCTTCCTGTCACAAAGAAAATAACAAACTCCGGCATCACTCAAAAGCAAATGCAAACGACTAAATTATCTCACCAGACTCGGTAACACATCCTAGAAGTTTAATGACGTAAGGATGTGGCTTTAGCTGCTTCATTGTGGCAAGTTCTTTCATCAAATCTCTCTTATCTGATTCAGCAGCGTTTGCTGAAAATATAATAAAATTTGAGCCTGACAATTCTTGAAGCTTCAGGCATAGTTACCTATCCCTGAATGGCACTTGCAGAAAATCACCAACCAGCTGTTTAAGGGCATTTAGGGCATTCATACCCAACATATTGATAAAAGACCTAAAAAGACTTTTAATCATTACATAGATTTAAAAAACTCACTACTGAGTCGGAACAATGACAGATATTAATCAATCTCTTCGCAACGAATTACGTCACTCATAAGAATATTATATTTACTCTGAAGTCTTTCCAAACGGTGAATCCAATCTGAATAAGGCCTTACATTTTAGCATTTTGATGGCCACTGTAGTTGTTCCAGGTCTCCCCCGAAGTTCTACTGCCGTTCCCTTAGCGACCTGACCAAAAGCGCCTTTACCAATTATTTTTTCGATCGTCACGTGATCCCTTTCCACTTCCCAGAAGCGAGTTGACGGCTGGAGAGCTGTGTAATCTGTAGCTTGATCAGCAGTTTGTGTTTTCCTTTTATCTGTGGGTATTTCCTTAAGATCCATGTATTCTGCACCAGTCTGAGTAAATGTACTTTTAGTAGTGATACTGGGCTCGAGATCGTTCAATGCCATTTCATTCTGGCGAAACCAAAAAAATTTTTACAGTGAATAGTTTCGCCTAGGAGAGATATTTGATCGTGCAGTCTGATCGTTCGGCTGAACGCAGTCCAAAGAGAGACTGTTCTGTGTCCTAGTGACTGACCCACCGACAACCTTAACAACGGAATCAACCGTGATCACTCGACTCTAATGACAGCTTGAAATCCCTCTCGGGACTACTGTTACTCAGACGATGAGACTACAGAATAAATGAATCATTGAACACTATTTACTTGACAAAGTAACCTGAACAAATTAAGGGAAAGTTGTCGTTTGGAATCCGCCGAAATTAAAAACTTGCTAACAGGTTTGAGGACGTACTTTACAGGGTTAATCCCAGTATGATTTACGATAAATCAAAATTCACTATTTTATGACGCTATTTAAAAGCTATACTGTTTCTATTTCACGCCTTAGTAGTATCCCATATAGCTACAAGTTAGGGCACGCCATTAAATGAAGTTATAGTTGAGTGTCAGTTCCAATTACAGTGGTGGCTTAAGTTACATACATCTCTTATGTGTAGGTGTAGGTCTGGCCATAAAGGTTTAAGTTAGGATTAGAGTGAATTCTTTTCGGTAACAGTTTTAAAGGGAAAAAACCTTCCTTTTTTAGCCAACTTACGTCATAAACACTGCTCTCGTGTGCAAGTTTCCTAAAATGGCAAAAAAAAGACCCTGCGATCAATTATTGGTTTAGTTTGGAAGCAATATTAAAACACTTGTGTCATCAAAAGAAAACTATAAAAAAAAAACACATTGAAGAAACTTCCTCCATGTACCTTTGGTCTACTGTGATGCCTGTAAGACAGGAAATACCGCAATGATTAAGATTTTAAAGTAGAAATGATATGGTAATGAAAAAACACGCGTATATAAATATTGCACATCTAAATTCGATTCTGTACCTTTCCTGTATAGCCAAATGATGCAAAGACACAAAACAATGATTATGAACACAAGTGACCCGATTATGGCTTTGAAAATGACATCATTACAAGAACACCGGCTTTCGTTAGGAACTAAGGAAAAAGATACAGTTAACTCAATTAGTTGGCTATTTGTTAAAAATATGCTAATGTGGCCAAGTTACGTGGAAAATAAACTAAAAGAAATCGACAACTGATAGACCATCTATGGTAACAGATATAACAAAACAAAGATACTTGCAAATGCTGTGTGGCTTAAAAACATAAAAACAAAATATGGTCTACATCTTATAATGAGAAAATCTTAAAAAGAACGCGAGATACGGCCCAGAGATTGTTAGGGGAACTGGTAGCGAATAGAAAAAGTTATCACAATCTGAGAAGCCTCTCGTAGAATGATGAAGTTTTTCGCGGGCTTTCGTCGAGGATCTCGATTAGCACATTTTGTTTACATCGCATCTTCCAACGCACAAAAAAGGGATTTCCAGGCACATTTTGCAAAACGTTAAAAAAGAGCAGTCTCCATGAAAGGGCTAAAGGCTGAAAGTTTCTAAAGAAACTGTAATGCCGCGTCGGTGGGGGTAACAAAGTAATTTGGTTATATCAACTAAGTTGAAATCAGTTGTAAATTGGCCACCGTAACGAGTAAAAAAGCTGACGTTTCGAGCGTTACCCTTCGTCAGAGAGAATGGAGGAATTGTAGGTTGTGTGTGGGTTTATATGCATAAAACGGAGCTACGTTATTGGTGGGAACATGGTGACGAGAAAAACTCGAATAAATTAGTGAAATGAAAAGTGTTCGTTGATACGTGTGGGATTAAGAGTGCCGATTTGAAAAATAAACTTTTGTTCAAGAGTTTTGCGGCTTTCCGTGCTACCAAGTTGTAACGAAAGACCGCAGATTGCCATATGTTTTTAGAATGATTAGGTATATTTAAGTGTCTAGCAACTGGTTTTTATGCATCCTTGTCATTCCTTTCAAAGTCGCGAAGGTGTTCTCGGAATTGGTCACCTAGTCATCTTCCTGTTTCGCCGATGTATAATTTTTTGCAATAAGTGCAAGTTATGCAATAGATTACGTTGGCGGAGGTGCACGTGAAGTGATCGGTGATCGTAATGGATCGCTTGGGTCCCGATATTTTCTCAGCGTTGTGAATAAAAGGACAAGTTATGCATCGTGCGAGAGCGTAGCTAAAAGTGCCGCGTTGGTCATTAGGTAATTTGATTATATCAACTAAGTTGAAATTGTAAATTGGCCACCGTAACGAATAAAAAAGCTGACGTTTCGAGCGTTAGCTCTTCGTCAGAGAGAATGAAAGAATTGTGGGTAGTATGTGGATTTATATGCAGAAAGCGGAGCTACGCCATTGGTGGGAACATGGCGACGATAAAAACACGAATAAATTGAGGAAATGAAAAGCGTTCGTTGATACCTGTGGAATTAAGAGTGCCGATTTGAAAGATAAACTTTTGTTCAAGAGTTTTGCACCTTTCCATTTTGCCTAAATCTAAGGAAAGATCACTGATTTCCATATGTTTTTTAGAAAGATTATGTAACTTAAAGTGTCTAGAGACTGGTTTTGATGCGTCCTTGGGTTGGTCATTAGTTTGGAATGAACTTCTGACCAAAAAATTGCCTATGTTTTTGTCGCGTTTAAATGAAATAAGTGGAGGTTGCGAAAAGATAGTGCCAGTCTCATGGATCGTTTTGAAGTAATTTAAAGTTTTTAAGAATAATGGATTTAACTGAGTGGTTGTGGGGGTGAAACATGAGAGTAAATGAAATGCGGTCAGAATTTTCCTTCTGTAATGTTTGTGGTGCTCTCTGTCGGTCAATAAGTTGGGCGCGGGGTGATCCGCTTGAACGACAGAAACAGGGTAACCCCGTTTTTCGAAAAACTGGTACATTGGCTCTGATTTCTAGGAAAAATCAGAGTCAACACTACTTAAACGACGAAGTCTTAGAAACTGAGAAAAGGGAATGGAATTCTTAACATGAGATGGATGGATAAACTAGCTGCCTAGCTCCGCTAGCTCCTATGGTTATTCCAGGCGGCTAGTACTCCAATTTTATTTCGAGTAATTTCTTTCAACTTTGTAACTTTTTGCATAAAGCAAGTATGAATGCGAATACAAATAAAGGATCATCCGCCTCCCGGTTAGCTCAATTGATAGAGAGCTGGACTGTTGTGCGGGAGGTCGAGGGTTCGAGCCCCGGCCGGTCCAACACTCAGGGTCTTAAAATAATTGAGAAGAATATGCTGCCTTTCTATAACATCAAGAAATGGTTAGATATTCTAGTCTTATCGGATAGGGACGAATAAATGGAGGTCCCGTCTCCTTCAGGGTTAGGGGCAGGAGACGTTAATTTCCCACGCACGAGGTTACTGTGTGATGGATGTCCTCCCATGGGGTGGGATGGGTGGTTAACAGGACCCCCGTTGATACCAGTGTTTACTACACTGAAGGGGCTATCCTGTATAAATATAGATGTCTACTCTATCCGATGCGAAGATGAATACAACAAGTAACTATGTGATTCTGTAGGTTTGTAATACACACTAGTGCATAGGCCGTTGCCTTTAATTGAAACTTTGATATCTGAAGTGGATAAAAAATTCTCGGAAATTTCCCAAGTACATGTTAGAGCTGGGTGAAAAGAATTGACAGCGGTTATAAATTGAGTTAGCTCCCCTCTGGTAGAGGAGGTAGCGCCGATACAATCGTCGATGTAGCGACCGTAGAGTTCAGGCTTGGTGCCAATGTATTGGCTAAAAAATTGGTGTTCAACAAAACCTACAAAAAGATTGGCATAGCTGGGTCCCATTTTGGTACCCATGGCTACGCCATCGGTTTGTTTGAAAAAGTTGTCACCGAATGAAAAACAATTAAAAGTGAGCACTAGTTCAGCTAAGCGAAGTAGGGTTCCAGATTTAGGTTCCTTAACAGTGCGTAGATCAAAAAAATGTTTCAGGGCCAAAAGACCTTCGCCATTGGGAATGACATTGTAAAGAGAGGTAATGTCCATGGTGAAAAGAAGTTTGTTTTGGCCATGAAAATTAAAGTCGCGAAAAATTGGAAGAGCGTGTTTGCTATCTTTGATATATGATTGTAAAGTTTTGACGATGGGAGCCATAAATTTGCATAAATAGCTGGAAATAAGTTCGGTAGGGCAGCTGCAAGCCGAGACAATGGGCCGACCTGGGTTGTTAGGTTTGTGAATTTTAGGTAAAAAGTAAATATAAGAAGTTCTAAGGGCATGACTGGACGGAAAACGCGTGCACTGTAAGAACCTCCCATTTTCCCATACAAAGCCTTAGAAAAGTTTTCTAAGGCTTTGTATGGGACAAGCAGAGGTACTTACAATGCACGTACTTTCCGTCCTGTCATGGGTTATGATGAGATTTTCGCAGTGGCCGGCAATTCTTGTTTTGCTATGAGTTCGTTAACTGTATTTTTGACGGTGTTTTGATTAGTGGAAATAAGATCTTTGTCAATCTTTTGATAAAAAGAGGTGTCAGAAAGTTGTCGCAAAGCTTCTTTTTGGTAGAGGTCGGTCCGCCAAACAACTACTGCACCGCCCTTGTCGGCCGCTTTGATGAAAGGTCGCCGAAGTTAAAGTCTAAGATCGTTGTCCTTTTTCCTTTTAGCTTGCTTTACCCTCTTTTTCATGCCGTTTGATTCTCCCGATGCAGTCGACAAATGACCTTTCCCGCGAATTTTAATGAACTTCTTCTTCAAGAGTCTTGCAAAAGTTTGAAGTTGCGTTGCAATGGTAGGCGGCATGACCACATCGACATGTACTTAAAAAGGATGCCAAAACTTTGACTTAATTTGAAATGTTTTTTCTGAAATAGGATGCCAAAAACTTTGACTAAGTTCGAAATAATTTTTCTTGTGACGTTCAGGCGCGTGACTACAGGCGAAATATCCGCATTACAGACTACGTCATGCTCAGTACTCCCTGCCCAACTTGCGGACTGATGATCACCTTTGACAGAAACTGACCGACTAACATTTACAATTGACCGACGAAGTACAAATAGCTGAGATTTCAGTGTCTACAAACGACCATAAAAGTGTTCTTGAAGGATTTAGGATCCTGAGTTGTCAAAGTGCTCTTGACTAGAAAAAAAGTTACGTTCACAGAAAAAGGAAAAGTTTCATATCAGTTAAAAAATTCATTTTAAAAAAGATGCGCCAAACACGTCTACGTACTAGATGTTCTTTCGAATTGTGATACACCAAAATTAATGACAAAAATGACGCACCGGCAAAGTCGACGGATCACCACTGACACAAAAAAACCTAGCAAACTACCTCAAGAAAAACTAAAATATGAAAAAAAATTTTCTTACTTTCATTGCAGATATCATCATCCACGTGGAGAGGATCACACTCCTTCTTCGCTGGAAAGATAATTCAAAAAGAGGAATGAAAGGATTTAAGTTATCCGTTTGGTCATACATGATCACTATTTACGAACATGGCCATCAAATCGTCACGGCATTCAGGTTATTCGGTCTTGCATCATTTAAGCAGAGTATGAGTAACGATTAACCCTGGAAAGCCCACTTGGCCCTCTCAAAGGGTCAGTTTTGGCTTACCTGGAAAGAACTGAAGAGCTGCAATTGAATCAGCGTCCACGTCACCTAATACACCCGCTTTTGCAGCTTGTTGAAGGTATGACGTTGAAGTCTCCTCTCCCATAGGTTGATCGAATATAAGACGGAAATATGCGACTGCGCTGCCCGGCATGTAAAGAAAGAAAATAGCACAAGAGCTTGGAAAAGCCCTGCATTTGTCCCAAACTTACGCTAAAAAATACTACTTTTCACATGTATAAGGCAGGGTATGGATGTTCCTTCATACTCATGGATTGTTTATAATGTCTTAAAACTTCAGGCCAATAATCAGAACCGGGGCTTGTTGTTAGAGTCAAAGGTTTTGATTCAAATACAAGGAACGTTCTTCAAAAATGGTCCGGGGAGTTCTTTGAAAATACGCACTAGGTTTGATTACACCGTTTAGTTGAGATAACACAATACAATACAATATTCCTTATTTAACGAAGGTGACGTAATTAACCCAATGAGTTATCTAACTTACGGCCTTCGATACCCACCCATCCCACCCCAGGAGAGGACATCCATCACACAGTGATCTCGTGCGTTGGAAGTTAACAGTGCAAACAAGTTTGAAATCATTTAGGGACGAACAAGCTGAGGTCCTCCATATATCACAGTTGGTAAAAAGGCCACAGTGTCCTATTTACTTCTCTTTATAAAGTTTTTCATTTCATCAATTCTTTTCATTGACTTTCTTGGGTCAAAAGTGCCTCAACGTGCACTCAACTCAACACTGGGACCACATGACCATCGAAAAATCCGTACAATCGTTGCTTTTCTTGACCAAAATAAAAGTAGTTAGCAGGCAAATATGGTTGCATCACTATTTATTATTCGTTTTAGTACCCTTTCGTTAAAATGAATCGGTATCGCAAGCTAAAGCTTGCGAGCCTCGTCAAATCTGCCATTTTGGTTACTGAAGATGCGTGTGTTTCTAGACAAAAGTGTTGCAAGCAGGCTCTCGGTAAGAGTTATGCAGGACGTGGTTTCTCCCCCAGCAGGAAGATTTGAGAAAATGTGGAGGGATTTGCTGAACGGTCTGGTAACAATAAAACTAGAACCTTTGCAGACCTTTGCTTAAGGCCTGTTACTTTCCTGCGGGAGAAGAAACACTCTTGCCGACCCGCTAATTGTATTATGAGGGACTGCTCGCAAGCTACTTGATCGGTAAAGTAATAAACGCTATATCATAATTCAAACGCCCATTTAAAGGAAATAAAACCTTACCCAAATCTTACTACTTCAACTTTAGGGGTTGAGCACTGAGGAAAGGCTTTCTTGACCTGAAATGATGCAAACAAAGCATAAGTATATGTTGTTGAGGGCATTCTGGCCCGTCTTTGTTTATTCATTGTCACGCTTTAGTGACTGCGTTCATTTATTTATTTACGTATTTATTATTAGCCCTTACCTTTATTGCGCGCGCGTTACGTAAAGAACCCATGTATGGTGGCTATCACGTTAATTAAAATCAAGGTAGCGTTGTAAGTTCGCATTTGGCAATTTTATCCGACGAGTGCTACACAAGCTGGGGTACGAAACTAAATAGTAATAAATGCCAAGCCAAATCTGCATTGAGCACTCTGAAAGCAGTTCTGCAGAACCCACCTCCCATTGAAGAATTAAAAGGTTTCGAGGACGACATGCTAAAGATGATCCAGTCCGTAAAATTCAAGCAAGTAAACAACCCCTTCCTCAATAAGCTAAAAGAAGACACCGACCGCATCAAAAATGAACCCAAGCTTCTAATCGCCGCCGACAAAACAACCAACTTCTACAAACTAGAGCCATCTACATACAACGATCTGCTAGAAAAAAACATCACGAAATCTTACAAGAAGACACAACCCGAGACGACGAAAGCAATCCATAAAGAAAACAAAGACATCGCGACGAAACTGGGAATCGACGACAGAGTGGACACTACAGCCGACAAAGACGCATTCATAACACTTAAGGATCACAAGCCGAACTTCGCAAACAAACCGACCTGCAGACTCATCAACCCCACGAAGTCCGAGATAGGCAAAGTCAGCAANCCAATTGTAGACATCGGCGAAAATATATTCTCAAGTGTTCTTAACGCTATTATCGGCGCGCGCACGGTTTTCAAGATTTCAATTTTTTAAACAATGTCATGTGATCACGTTGCTGAGTTAGAGTTAACCGTCACGATGCCTCAGTGTGTATGGAGTTTAACTGATGAGTGGATCAACTGTTGTTGGTCTACGAAACAGGCTGTATTAAAATCCATATGCGCGTAACTTGAGTAGTCCATTTGCTACTATATATATATATATATATATATATATATATATACATATATATACATCTAAATAACCGCTCCCAATATATATACATCCAAATGACCGCTCCCAGCCTTTTAAAGCTATTGTCAAATGATAATAAAAGGCAAGTTTTTCAAATCGAAGGTCGCACTTCCTTTACGCTACTTGTTGATAAATTTCCCACTAAACAAAACTAAAGCTTTAGTGCGACCTGGAATTAACTTTCGGAAAATGAAATGAGAACTTTTTGGAAATAATCATTCAATAGTGAGTTCTTTGGTTTTTCGAAGTTGAGTACCAAATGACTTGGACTCTGGAGAATTAACGCTCTGAAAACACCGTTTCGGAATTAGAGACATCGAATTTTAAGTCCGTAATTGAGAACTCTACGACTTTTCAGAACCGAAAAATATGAAGCCAGGCATTTACCAGATGTATCATCCCCATTCTATTTCTGCATAATTTATATCCTCATGTTATCTCTCTATTACCCGTTGAGAAACCAAAAAATTTTGCAACAAAACTGTTGCAAAATTTAACTGACGTAGAGTACAAAAGGCTATAGCTATTTCCGTCGATCATTAAGGACTCTCATAGCTTTTCCGGAACTACAGTAATCTACAATAATCTAGCTTGTACTAAAAACCGCATCCTAGAGAAACATTCCAAATCTGGTTGCTGAGGTGCAACTATTGGCTGAGTTGCTGAAAAGTAAGGATTGTTTTATGTACTCACTGCAGCGACATATGGTAATATCTACTTGACTTGCGACCAAGTCTTGGAGTGCTTATCAAATAATACCAATCATGCCCAGGTGTGACAAGAACAGAGAAATTAAGTTCGTTCCCTACTTAGATTTAGTAGTGACATAACGAGAAATGTAAGGGTAACTTTTTTCGTTATCATCAATTCATTCCGTTCCTGGAAGTTTTTGAAAAAAAGCGTGAATATCGATAATTACCACATAAAAATATCAGACACCGCATAACATCATTTCATGATCCCATTCCCCAGTCTTCATTCCCCATTCCCGTTCCTGCTTGTTGTAACATCCGATAAATGTAATATGGTGGCAACGATACTTCTAAAACAAAATCATCTCCATCTGCGAAAGCGATCCTTGCAGTAATGAACATTGTTATGGAGAGCGTTGTGTTGCATAAAAATAGAACTGAGGAAGTTTCTGAAACACTTAGTCATTCTGACTCATTAATGGAACTTTCTAAAACCCTTAGTCAGCATATTTTGTCATGGTGCAATAGTGATGTAACGATACTAAAAACAGTTGTATTACAGATCCCTAAATTATTCTAGAACATTCTGTAAAAGATATATAAGAAGTCGTGATCGGTTCAAGTCAGACCTTTTTCAGTGAGTCAGTGTTCTTGCGAAGAGACCAGAGAAGCTAGCGTTGTTACAGTGCCCGACTAGAGAGAATTCTTGGAATTATTTACTGACACTGGAATCGTCAGCCGTGTGGAAGGCTTATTTGAGAAAAGTTTAGTAAACATTGATGAGGTACAAGGATCTTTGAAGAGAACCGTGAGTTGTGCAGTAGTATACTGAGATTATAATTTGGATATATCAACAAAGTTGAAATGGTAAATTGGCCACCGTAATGATTACAAAAGCTGACGTTTCGAGCGTTAGCCCTTCGTCATTCGCTCCGACGAAGGGCTAACGCTCGAAACGTCAGCTTTTGTAATCATTACGGTGGCCAATTTACCATTTCAACTTTGTTGATATATCCAAATTATTTCGTTACTCCTACCGACGCAGCCCCAAACAGTTTCTTTCGAAACTATCAGCCTTTACTGAGATTATAGTTCTATAGAGGGGGCTCTAAGATAAGAGGATAGTCACTGTATTGGTATTGGTATCGCTCCGTAGTAAGATTATTACGTCAGTTAGTAAAGTAGTTGAGTTGGTACGAGTTGTATCTTTCTGTTGGTTGTGAAAATACTTTAACAACATTACCAAATTAGTGGTGCAAATATGGCCTGAAAAAACTTCATGCCCGCATAGAATTTGAACCTATGACCTCTGTGATACCGGTGCAATGCTCTACCAACTACGCTAACAAGCCAACTGAAAGCTGAAAATATGAAAATCATTTATCTCTTTGTTTCTCTTGGTTCACTGCTTTCATGAGTATCGCTTCTACTTTAGTAACTGGTCCAGTACTCGCCTTGTCATTGTTGACATGGGATCCGCTGTAATTGGCTAAGGCTGCAGTGGTTTCCCTGCCTAAGATAATTAGGCGAAGCTAAATAAACAAATTGGAGGCTGTATGCCAGAGGAAAAAAACTCAGCTAGGTCAAAAATCGCAAGTAAATCAATCAAACACAGTACACGACCGTAAGCATGTTTACACCAGGAATGAACGCCTCGACTTGCTGAAATGTTATCCATTTCAAGTTTTATGGTTTTATTTCCTCTTTTACCCATATATTAATACCATAATTCCGATTTGATGTATAATGAAAAAAAATGGTTTCCCACCTTTTGAGTGTCTAATGCTATCTTCTGAAATTCCCCACTCTCGTTGTCATACAATTCTTTGGTGAATACTTGGTCTTTGTAAGTCATCGTGTAATTCAGAATATTCGACACTTTATCTACCAAAAGTATCATAAAAATAGCATTATCAACACTTAGAGTTTTACCCTTTATTTGCATTAAACTGTTCTTTTCATTTGGAAAAGGTGGTAACAACATCAGAGTAATAATGAAACGGTCAATTCCACTTTGTATGATGTCATGCAAACTAAAGATTCTTGATTCTTATTTCTAAATAATTTGAATCACTTTAGTTCTTCAATTCTCTAGGGAGATTTTTTTTCCCTGTTTTGTGTTGAAATTATGTGTTCAAATGATTTCAACACAAAATTTCAACGCAAAAAAAGGAAAAACATATCTCCCTCGCGCATCCTTACACAAATGCATTAACGTTCTTGCACTGTTTAAGGTGACTAGAGGCAGTTTTCTAAATCTTCGACCGGTTATGTTTAGAGCGCCCTTAAAAAGAGATGCTCCTTTGGAATTAAACAATTGAAAAATAAGGCCCAACATGATAATTGCCATTAAAGTGGATACTTGTTAAGACCTCCCGTTAGGAGCCTTCACTACCATCTCGTTGCTACTTTCGGCTTCTACTCAACGAAAACTGCATCAAACACATGTGAGTTACTTTGGAAGATTTACTGGTGAGCCAAAGTAATTCTCCAGACGTATCGACTGTTATGCACATGCAGTGGCCTTCTTAGTGTACTAAAGAATGTTAATCACAGAGAAACTTTGTAATAACGTAGAAAAGAATCCTGGGACTCTGATATGTTGTGCTGCTTCATTTCCATTGTGGAAATCGTTCAACTGTAAAGAAGGAACATTTGTTACCACTTAGCATATGGCCAAAATGACCTTAAGGAAATCTGTAGCCGGCCACTTTAACACACGCTTCATTCTCATTTCAATGCTGTTTAAGTAACGTTAATTAAAGAACTCACTTTCCACAACGACAACAAATGTCCTCGTAGCAGGAATCCCAATTCCGTTGTCAGCCTTGCATTCATAACTGTGCCTGTCACTTTCTTCAGGCGTGATCGTAAGAGAGATTCCATCAGAATCATGAGTTATCCCCAACTTAGTCCAAGTAATGTTTGGAGTGGGATGTCCAGTCGGAGTGCATCTCAAAGTTTTCGGTTTTCCTCTCTCAACAAATGTTTCGCATGATGTCTTGCTATTTATTACAGGAGGAGCTAATATATACATAAAAGAAAAACACTGCTATTTAAAAGGCTGTTTAAGAAAGCGGTTAAGAAAGCAGTTATCCTATCATTAAGAAGCCTGATTTGTTTAGTACCTTCTGAAAGAAAAACTGTTCAAGTCTCGTCGACAAAACTTTTAGACCAAAGCAAAGCAAAAGCGATGAGGAGAAACCGTCCACAGTATGCCTGATAAATTTAGATACCCCAGCCGTTTATTCCCATCGAAACCAAAGTCAAAGTTTTCAGTCTCTGTTTAATGCTTCTACGGAGAAAGTGAAATGAGGACTTAACTACCTTGTGTCTTTGTGCCAACATTACATGGGATCATCATTTCAATAATGAAGGGAAAGTATGCCGGAAGAAATTGAGAAGTCGCCTTCCTAGGTTTGACCATATTAACGGATGGATGACACTTACTTCAGTCATTCGTCTTTGGAAGAAAGAATCTTTACTGCAAATAGGCTTGATTTGAATTAAAACCCCATTAACAACACAGTTTGATTCTTCTCATCCAACGAAGAAAAATTTCTTACGTTTCAAGGGCCGTGTTGTAGTATAAATGATGTCAAAAAGTGCATGATGATAAAAGAGTTGAAGTTGAAGATGTTGGTTTCGTCCCTTTCCAAAACAAAGTTCAAGGTAAAAGACAAACAAGTGAAATATGGAAATTGCGAGGAACCAAATTTTGAAAAAGTATGATGGAGGAAATGTTGTGCCAATTTCAAAAAGAGGGATTTTCGAAATATTGGCTAACTGGCAAACAAAGTTGTTTGCAACCCATCATTAATCAGACTTCGCACAAAAAATATAAATATGAGTTCAAAGAGGAAAACAAAAAAGAAAATAGCAAGCAAAAACAGAAATGCTAAAATTCAGCACAAACGTTTTGTACTGGTAGAATGTACACAAATTCGAAAATTGGGTACATAGCTGACATACTGACTCGTAACAGTTACACTTACAATACACTTCCACGGTAATTTTTGCCGTCGGTCCGTCTCCATAGGCATTAGATGTTTTACACGTGAAGGACACTGCATTATTCCCTCCCACTTCTGTGACTGACATTGAAGTAACTGAATTACTACCAACATTAGTACCGTCATCCCTGAAGATGCCATAGGTAGCTGGAGGGTTGGCTTGTGCACTACATGTGATGTTGAAAGTTTGGTTCACAATGACAGCATTGTCTCCGGTGTTCACTATTAACGTTGTGTTCAATGGGCGATAGTCTAGAAGAAAATAAACAAACAAACTCAAAATAATCGAACAAGAAGATTACATTAGGTGGTCGCACTGGTAACCAATTATATCTTGGAGAGCAGATGGTATCTTTTACATTTCAGTGCGACGAACGCTGAAGTGAGAGAGATTATCAACAGAAAGATAACATTAAAACTCCAAGCGGCCATACTCTCTTCTCTTTTTACACTGGTATCCTCTCAAAGTAAAAACAAAATTTGAAAACGAAGGGTCACTAAATGCAAGAAGCACCGATGTATAAGTTTTAGAGCATGAAGAATGTTTTTCACATCCTTAAGTGTAAAAAGTAACCATGTTTCCTTTTTAAGAATCTTATTTTCCATCAGAAAAAAAAAAGAATTAAATTCATATCAACAGAGCAGTAAAACCAAAGCCTTAGAGTTAACGCGGTATGTTTAAGGTGTAATTTTTGTTTTTGAGTTTCACTCACGATTAACAGTAATGTAGACTTCTCTTATAGATGGATTTCCGACACCATTATCTGCAATGCATCTGTAAAACCCTTCTTCCTGTTTACCAGTGATGCGAAACGTCCCTGGCACAAAACTGTTGTTTGAAACGAAAATCCATCTGATTCTAGGCGAAGGATAACCATCCGCTTGACAATTTAGTGTCACTTTATCAGTCTCATTGACTATCTTATCATTCATAATGTGAGTAATCTTTGGTGGGCCTGAAAACAAAAACAAAACATTTTCCAGTAATACATGATGAATGAAAAGACTTGGAGGTCGTGTGTAAGTCCATAACCTGTGAATGTCTATTATGAACCGATTGCTTAAAATACATTTAGAAAATTAGATAGTGTTTTGTAGCTTAATATGTAGCTGAAAGAAAATAAGATGGAAGTTGTCCACATTTAATTTAACGGTTTATTCTCTCTATTGCACGCCACTCTTCGCCAAATACCGATTGGTATTTGGGCTGGTAACTGGCTGAAAGCTACAATTTGGAACCTTGGTTAGTATTCTAAAACAGCTGCAGAGATGAACTTTCACCAAAGACCGCTTACATTGCACATGGACCGGTAGCGATATTGTTGGGAAGTGATCAATATTTCCAGAGACATTTTCGCATTTACGGTCCTCAGAGATGGTTTCCTAACCCCTCCAAATCTCTAAATGTGATATAAGTCGGGATTACAAGGAATTTCGTTGCAATATACGGAACCCCTGTTGAAAAAAGTTTGATAGATCATAAAAAGCGTTCAGTTTTTATCTGACTCTTAGCGCTTTCCACAATGGGTGGTGATTTGCCTTGTTTTCTCAGGCTCTTGGCCTACATGTTTATCAGTCGAGAGGGACCTGAGTTCAATAGATGCATAACCTTTGCTCTAGTCTTGTTATAGGTTTTCCCTCTGGATTATCCCACGATCAAGTCTTATCTTCACGTCATTACGATTCTCGAATGCTTCCGAAATGTCATCGTTTGGCCAGGATGACTTCTGAGGCGATTTTGTTACGTTTCATTGATAAAATCAAAACCAAGCTTAACAGATGTATAGCATCTCATTTGGGCCATTTTCGTAATTACAAAATATGCTACACAGAATCTTTTTCATGTCTCATCTAAGCCGATGCGTTTTCGCCTATCATCTACATTCATTATCATTCGTTCTCCCCAGCTTTTTCAGATGTATCAGTGTAGACAAGGGACCAAAACGCATACGAAGGTACGCGTTTTCGTACGAAAACAAACTGATGTGAATGAGACCTTAGATGGATTACTAAGGAAATCCAGCAACTAAAGTCCTTGAATTAAACGGAGGGCTTTGAGTCACACTTACGCACAGTTTTCCTCTTAGAAAGAGTATCATGGTTTCAAAAAAAATCGTGATGTTACCGAATAGACATTACGTGAAAGAAACCGCTCAGTCGTGTCGCTCCTTTTCGCCCACGCTGAAAGAACTTGATGATTGATTGATAAAAATAACACTGAATTCATATTATTATAATCAATTTAACAGATGTACACTAAGCGTTTAGACTCCTCTTCAGCAAGCTGAATTATTTGCGGTTTACGATGATTGGCATATGCGCATAGCAATACTCCGTTCAGGTAGAATGTGTAAATTTTACGCAATAGCAGTCCAAGGTGAAAACTACGGCCTCGATTATTTAAACGACGTTTGCTCTGAGATTATGAAAGTCGTGGCTTAACGAATGCTTAAACCACAAAAAAAAGACTATTCAAACATTACTACTCCATAACCAACAAAGTATCGAGGGGGGTTCAGTTGTTGTTTATGTTATGTTTATGTACCGCGTCATTTTTTTTTTGGGCTAATTATTTTTAACAAATGGTAAACACCACAGCGTACACTACTTAAACAATAGAGTGTTTCTGTCGAGGAACTATCGGCTGATAGTTGCCCAGCGGAAATTTCATGTTCTTAAAACAAATATTTGCCCGAGAAGCGAAGGTTCGAGGTAAAATATGCTAGTTTTAAGAACATCAAATTTCCAAGGGGCAACTATCAGACCGATAGTTCCGAGACAGA